GTAGTAATGATTAGTTCTGTTATAGGAAACTAGAAAATTATAATCACTGATTTGAAATGCATACATGGCTATAATAATAGAGACACCCGGCATGAAAACTTATTTTCTCCAAAGTATAAGTATAGTCCATGCAGCTTTCTGTGCTTTGTCAAAAGAATAAGTGCGTTTCCAATACGTTCATGGAAAATGGCCTTCTGGTACATTAGGGATAATTTTTTCCTGTGATTTTTCAGGATGGAAGAGTGTACCTCTCTTCTTTCCAACTATCTCTTCCTGACAGCTATTAACCGCTGCATGTATATCCAAATTGTATCTATATTCACTCATGTATTTTAAATAACTAGTTTAAATTGCAATGAAATTGTACCCTGTGGTTTGCATTCATTTTCCTGAACCCTGCTACTGCAGTCTCAGTACTTATCCAATGCTTGCTAGTGGATTTCTTATAGCTCCCCTACTCAAGGGATCATGTAAATCTTCCTTTCATTTTGAGAATTGTAGGTTTTGAATATAGAAAACAGTTTTATAATATCGGTATTATTGTAGTGGTATGGTTCTGGCATGGTTTTCATTAAAATTTGCCATTTATAGGAATTTCTATTGGAATCATTTTAAAATCTCACTAGGTATTGAAGCAGTGTGCCTGATAGAGGGGGACCTAGGCTCTTCCTTTATTGTTTAGCTTCCAGGGTTTTCCCCTAAGCTTTATTTATTTTGTTGTTGTTGGGAATATACACAGCATAACCTGCACCAATTCAACGGCTTGTACATGTACCGTTTAGTAACACAGATAGCAGTCTTCGAGTTGTGCATCCATCCCCACCCCCTTTTCTGAACTGTGCCTCCCTTGTTCACATAACCGACTGCCCACTAAGGGTCATGTCCAATCTTTCAAGTCGCTGCTATCATTTGATCCCATATAGACAGACCTTCAAAAAGCAGAATACTCAAAGGCAGATTTTTTTTAGCAATTCAGCTAAACTATTATTTAGTTTTAAGAAGCCTTCAGAGGATATTTTTTGGTTTAAGGTTTAAAGATGATCCCAAGGCATTTTATTGCTTAGTTTTCACATTTAGGGCTAATTTTAGGCATATTATCTTTTCTTCCCCCCTTGTATTTTTCAAACTTAACAGAAAGACACTGTTCCTATTACAAGTTACCTACAAATTTAATAAATTGTTTTTCTTGCATTTGAAGTCATAGCTCTATTCTCTGGAAACTGAGTAAGAGATTATAGACTTGTATATATTTATCACCACTAACACAAGAGTCCTGGTGGCTCAGTGGTTAAAGCACTCAGCTGCTAATTCAGAGGCTGGGTTCTAATCCCATAGTTGCTCCATAGGAGAATGTTGTGTGGCAGTCTTCTCAGAACCTTTATGGGGCAGTTATAGTCTATGATGGAGAGTTGCTATGCTTCAGAATCTGCTCAATGGCATTAGGTTTTTTCCTCTCTTAGTGTTATTAACATGAACGAGTTGGTAGCTTGCATGGTTAGATGAAGAAAGTGCATAATGTTATTTTATATGCACATCAAATTTGTCTTAATGTGAAATGTCCCAGAACACAGTTTAGATATACACTTGCTGTGAGCTTTTTTGTTTTAATATCTTATAATGGAAGAAACACTTACCTTGCATGCTTTCTTAGTCATTAGGAGCTGCTTCAGTTGTACTCCTTTTTTGTCATTGGAGTCGTATTTGGGGCAAGTGAGGAAACAAAAACCTGTGGTCAATCAACCATGTTTAATGGAAGTTACTTGTGTGTTATTTTCAATTAATATTCTCGATTTTATCTCTAGGTTCTAATAACTATTGCATTGGCTACACAGAACTCACAGACAATATTTATGATTAAATATTGTGATATTTATTTATTAAGGAAGTTGATAATTTATAATGCAAGTTAGAAATGCTTAGGATACAGTTGTTTATCAAGACTTGTTACAAGGTTCTTTCAGGTCTGCTAATAAATACTCAAAGAGGTATACCACTCCACTGTAAGCATCAACCCAAGGCATTCAGCTCAAGGTCTGTGGGTCGGCAAACCCAGGTCCCTGAATTAAGGGCCCAGACGTACCCTACTCCTGGAAGCCCCAGACGTACCCTACTCCTAAGGTATTCCATCAGTTAGTAAGCCCAGCTTCACCAATGAAGTGTCCAGTGTACCCCACTCCTCAAACCAGCTTCGTACCCCAATGTACTTAGCGTTTCTTGCTCCGTGGGTTGGGAAGTCCACCTCTCTGTTCCATGCTCTGGCTTCTGGTCCTGCTGCTGCTCCTCTGGTGTTATAGCTGTCTCATCAGGACCCAGGAGATTTACTGGTCCAGAAGACTTCCTCCACTCCTGACTCTTGCTGGTAATGAAACCCCACTCCTGCTTCTCAGAGGGCTCATTTTATGTGAGACAGGATGGCAAGCCAGAGAATCCTGGTTCACAATTACTTACAGGTGAATCCTATCAGTATCTTTCCCCACCTTCTTACCAGACTCATGCAGGAAAAGGTCATTTGTAAGAGTTATAGATTTTGACTAGAGGAGCCTCATTAAATAACTCACTGTCCCTTCAATGGATTTCTTTAGAATTGATTTTAATTAAATAATTGTATATAAAGTATCTGAAAATATCAGAGGTGAAGGACTATGTATTTAATTTTTTAACTTATTACAACAGGTTCACAATGTTCATTACTAGTACTAAGAATCTTCAGGGGGAAAATGAATCTTCAGAGTAATTCAATTACTGTATTAAATATATAGAGGGTTTAATATTGAAGTGAGTAAAAGGATAGGGCTGGACCTCTGCTTCTCACTAGAAGAGACTAATTTCCCCCAAGAACAATTCTAGAAGCTGGAAAAAAATTATTGTTTAAAGACCCCAAATCCAAGAGATAGAGAAGACTGTCAACACTTTGTCTGGCAGTTTCTCTTCGAGGGATTTGCCAGCTTCCTAGTGGCATAGTGGGTTGCTAACCACAAAGTGAGAAGTGACCAGCCATTCTGGGGGACAAAGTTAGGTTTCTGACTCCATAAAGATGTACAGCCTCAGGAACCCAAAGGGGCAGTTCTACTTCGCTGACTTGATGGCAGTGCGTTTGGTTTTGGAGTTTAAACCGCACATGTGCAGACTTAAGCAAAAAGTAGCTATTCTTTTTTGGGGTATGAAAACCAGGATTCCTGAACCCATAGAGTCAGCAAGAGGACTAGGATTTTCAGGGGAGGGAACACAGAGGTGGTAGCAGGGTCAGGGGGTGATGGCATCAAGGGGTCCATGTAGAAAAAGGACGTTTGGAAACTGTGGTAACACATGCACAATTCTACTGGATGTGACTGAACTATGGAATTATTTGATATGTGTATTAATCCCAGTTAATAAATAAAAAAGTAGCTACTAAGAGGTTAAAAACTGAACAGAGATCTTGGCAGCCTCATGGGGACAGAAAGACAAAAATTCGAATTGAGGACCAACCAAGAAGGTGCCTGTGCCCTCAGTCGGTTTTGACTCCTAGTGACCCTCTGTACAACACAGCGAAATGTCACCTGGTGCTTTGCCGTCCTCACAATCGTTCTTAGGTTGAGCCCATTTTTGCAGGCACCGTGTCAATCCATCTTATTGAAAGCCTTCCTCTTTTTTATTACTCCTCACGTTACCAAGCATGATGTCCTTCTCCACTGACTGGTCTCTCCTGACCACATGTCCAAAGATTATGAGACGTAAGCCTCACTTTCCTTGCCTTTCAGGAGCATTCTGGCTGTATTTTTCCCCAAGATAGATTTGTTTGTTCTTTTGGTAGTCTGTGGTACTTTCAAGAATTGTTTTGCCAGCACCATAATTTAAATGCATTGATTCTTCTTCAGTTTTCCCTATTCAATGTCCAACGTTCACATGCATAGGAGGCAATTGAAAATATCATGCCTTGGGTCAGGTGCACCTTAGTCCTAAATAACATTCTTGCTTTTCAATACTTTAAAGAGGTCTCGTGCAGTGGATTTGCCTGATGTGTCATTTGAGCTTTTGACTGCTAGTTCCATGCGCATTGATTGTGAATCCAAGCAAGACAGAATCCTTGATAATATCAATCTTTTCTCCATTTATCATGATGTTACTTATCAGTCCAGTTGTGAAGATTCTGGTTTTCCTTATATTGAGTCATAAACCATGCTGAAGACTGCAATCCTTGGTCTTCATCAGCAAATTCTTTATGTCCTCCTCACTTTGAGCAAGCAAGGTTGTGTCACCTGCATTTCGCAGGTTGTTAATAAACCTTCCTCCAATCCTGACGCCACCTTCTTCTTCGTATAATACAGGTCCTCTGATTATACAGCAAACAGATTGAACAAGTATGGTTAGAGGATACAACCCTGTCACATGCCTTTACAAATTTTGAACAATGCCTTATTCCCTTGTTGTTCATGACTGTCTCTTGATCTATGTACGTTTTCCACATGAGCACAGTCAGGTGTTCTGGAATTCTCATTCTTCTCAATATTATCCATAGTTTGTTATAATCCACTGAGTCGAGTGCCTTGGCAGTCAATAAAACAAGTAAACATCTCTCTGGTATTCTTTGCTTTGAGCTAAGAACCATGTATCAACAGCAATATCCCTTGTTCCATGTGTTCTTTTGAATCTGGCCTGAACTTCTGGCAACTCCCTGTCAATGTACTGCTGCTAACTAAATACTGCTTAGTAAATTCTGTAACCACAGCAGGATTGATTGTATTGCCCTATTATGTCCTTCTTCTTTAGAAGATAATAGATTTTATCCATTACTATAGTTTTGAAACCTTGCATGTTATATATGCATCTTAAATACCTTCCTTGTGACAGTAGAGTGAATCTAATTGCAGTTAGGATAACAAGATTTACTTATGGTCAGTCTCTTGTTTCTACCAGGACCAATATTTCATGCTATGTATTCTCATCAGAGAAAGCAGTTTGTAGTTGTGTGGTATCTGTGTATGATGTGTGTTTAATGATTTTAGAAATTATTTCCCCAGGAAGCATAACTTTTGAAGCAATGATGGAAATCCTTCGCGATAAACCAAGTGGCATTAATATGGAAGGACAATTCATGACCACTGCGAGCATGGTTTCCATTTTACCGCAAGACACCAGTCTTCCATGCATTCACTTCTTTACAGGAACCCCAGACCCTGCAAGGTAAGCTCACAACATACTGTAAACCTGAAAAAGGTCCAGAGTAAGGGGGAAATCATTGGTGCAGTGGTGATTTTACCAGGCTAAACTTTTTATCACCGGGTAGGACAATGACTCTTGGATGTATTTTCTTTTCAAGTTTTAGTCAGCCATTTTCATGTGTGCAGAACCCCCACAACTCCTCATTTTTTTATGGGATGAAATGTTAACAGTGTCTTGTATGTAGTTATCCTATCCCCTCTGCCGCAAAATTTAGCATTGTCAAGAAAAAAATTCATATTTCAAAAATTACAATAGGAGGTGATTAATAAATAGTATAAAAGGTTAAATAATGCAATTGTGCTAGATTTACATGTCTGCTTATGTGTGCACATCTAGAAAACACACATACACACACACACATATATATATATATATAAAACTTAGGAGGTGCTTCATAAAGTTCACTGAAATATGGGATTCAAAGACAATGGAATTTTTCCACAAAAACTTTGAAGCCCCCTTATATCGTAAATAGTGGTTTCTAAAGTTTATCTTGATCACCTTGATGTGAGTGACTGATCATTAGTATTTCACAACAAATCCAATGCACCTTACTTTTAGAAATAATTTTATATTCACTGCCTCTTAATGTTACAGAATCCCTAGTGACCTAGTGGGTAATGGGCTGGGCTGTTGACTGCAAGGTCAAGAGTTCTAACCCACTAGCTGCTCTGCAGGAGAATGATCAGGCTATCTTTTTCTGTAAAAATTTAGTGTCAGAAACCCAAAGGGGCAGTTTTACTCTGTCCTATAAGGTCACTGAGTCAGATCTACTCAAGGGCCTGAGTTTTGGCATGTGTTATTATTACAGTCTGTCATATTATTAGAGATATTTCCAAGAAAATGAAATTAAAACTGTTTCTCTAATTACAATTGTTTTCATTTTCATCTCAAAATGTTATCCTCGGTTTAACCTTGAGAATTATCTTTCTCTTCTGTTATGGTTTGAATTGTGTTCCCCGAGATACATGTAAACCCTGCCCTCTGGGGCTGTGGTCAGGGGAAGGTTGGTGGCATTGTTGCTTATGAGTTGGGCTGCCAACTGCAAGCTTAGCAATTTGAAACCACGGATCTGTTGCAAAGGAGAGAGATGGGGCTTTCTGTCCCATAAAGAGTTACAATCTAGGAAACTCACAGGGGCAGTTCTACCTTGTCCTATAGGGTCAATATGAGTCAGCATTGACTTGATGGCAGGGAATTTGGTTTCCTGGTTTGGTCCTGTAGTTATAGCCCTACTTGGGAATAGGTTGTCTTTATTTGTATTAATGAGGCAAAATTTGTGTAGGGCGTGTTGAGCCAATCTCTTACAAACTATAAAAGAAACAGATTAGCCAAGCAGAAATGGGCAAGATAGATGACAAGCCACAAGGAGCTAGCTCTCCAGGAAACCAATAAGAGAAGCTGAAGAGACAAGAAGCCTGCCCCAAGGCAACAGAGGGAGGGAACTTTCCCTCAGAGCTGGTGCTCTGAACCTGGACTTGAGCCTCTTACATTGTGAGATGTACACTTCTGTTTGTTAAACCATCCACTTTCCATAGGAGGGACATTCAAAAGCTCATGGAAGATGGAACTAAAAGATAATGGGATTTTTCCATGTGACCATTTTGAACGACCTTGTATTTCATTACCCTCCAATTGCGAAGGCGGCAGTAGAAACTGGGAAACATTTTTGTTGTTATTTTGTTGGCACTGTTTATGAGCCAGGCTCTCTGTTAGGTACATGGAAATCCAAGACAAAGTAAAGCACAGTCCCGTGCCTCAGAAGAAATCCCAGTGTACTGGGGAAGGTAGTGTGACGGGAACCAATCAGTATGTAGCATCATTAATAAATGCTTCTAACTTGAGGACATCGTGGAGCTTAACATAAGTGCCAGATATATCTTATATTTAACAAAAATACCAGGTATATTTATATCTATATTATATATTTAATATATTAAATGTCAACATGCCAATTTAATAATGTTTCTTTTTTCTAGATCTATTTTTAAGCCTTTCATATTTGTGCCAAATATATCACAACTATTAGATACCAGTTCACCAACGTTTGAACTTGATGATCCAGTTAAAAAGTCACATTTGAGAATTAGGCCTGACAGAAGACACCGACTCTACCGAAAACATCAACAGGCATTGGAAGCAATAGGTGAAGATACGGTATGAATATACACACCCTCTGTTTTGTCATTAAGAATTGCTTGACTTATAATTCAGTCCATATTTTAAACTTTGGAATTTTAGCCTTCTTGTCTTCCTTCATATAAACATAGACTAAAAAGAAATCATATAATCAGACTATAGTAGAGTTGTATTAACTCATGACTAATTAAGAGTGTGTTATGAGTCTTTAAAAAATAGTGTATTAAATGTAATAACAGGTACTTTTTATCGAGCACTTACTATACACCAAGACCCATGATGTTTTTTCTTAAACAAAATATGAATTCTTTTATTACTCTTCACAGTATCTTCCAAAAAAACAAAAACAAACTCACTGCCATCAATCAATTCTGACTCATGGTGATGGTATAGGGCAGGATAGAACTGCTTCTGTGGTTTTCTGAGACCACACTCTTGGGGAATAGAAAGCCTCTTATTTTTTTCTCTGCTGCTTTTTTCAATTGATTCTAGATTGTTTTTATTTATTTATTTTTTTCCCCCTCAAAAACAGCAGAAATATATTCGGATGAATTATTTGCCTTATTCGTTTATTTTATCTAGGTATTTGTTTGACATTTAAAGTTTTAATAGTATTTTTGTGAGACAAAAACTTTAGTCAGTTATATTCGAGAGTCTTTTCCCTTCAGGTACCTGGAGTTGTGTTTCAAAAGGTCTACCTTATTTAAAAACAAAAATAAAACTTTGATATTTTCTTCTAGCGCATATGTGTGTCTTTAAAAAAAGTGTAATGCCTCTGAGATTTATTTATGTGTATGTTATGAAGTGAGGATGCTAACTTAGTTTTTATGGTGACCATCCACTGTTTAAATGCCATTCATAGACAAAACTATCTTTTCTTCACTAATAAAAATATGTGATTACATATAGAAGTCCTTATTAGGTTAATAATATTGGTCTGTGGAGCTCTTCCCCGTAAGTACTTCAAAGCTTTAAAGTCATATTCACTGTTCAGTAACTTTTTTCTTACAGACCTTTTGCTCTAAGTGCTGCACTCCAGCTGATTGCACGAATGCACCAATGGCTCCTTTCTAGAGGAGTTGAAGTCTTTTATCCCCTTCTAAAAGCAAAGCGGAATTCAAAGAGAAAATGTGCTTTTTTTTAGTTGTTCTTTCTCCTGAACATCGCTGTTATATTTCCTTTGTTTAATCTGATAATACTGATTTCAACTATACATAAATGAAAATTCATAAAGATTTCTCACCTTTGGTTTTCAACAACTTTACCCATATGCAATTGATATGAGTTTCCATTGTCCTGTTATTTATAATTTAGGTTTTTTGCTTTTAGGCAAATCAGCCATAATCTTGCCCTTCTTACTAAGAAGAAAAAGAATTGATATCCATGTATGAACTCAATCTAAAGCAATGTTTTTTCCTTAAAAAAAAACCCCAGACATCATTCCTTTGATATTTGAAGAATATAGAGAGGGAGGGACCAAACTGGAAGTAGAAAACATGTGTTGGAAGTTGGTCAGACTCATGTATGTGTGCTTATGCATTTTCATTTTTTAAATTGTTCAGGAAAAAGCCAAGGTGCTGCTGGATGGAATAAAGAAACTGGAGAAAGGACTGTTCAAAGAGATGGAATCAATCCTTCAAAGTAGACATATTTCAGTGGATAAAGTGATAAATCTCTATTCGCAGTGTACAAAAGATGAAATTAGAATTTATACAACAAATATTAATTCTCAGTGATCATATAAGTGACCACTTCATCCTCAAAGCTAAACTTTTTTGTTTTGTGTGTGCCTAGTTTGTAAACCTAGTGTAGGAGCTCTGATGACTATTAGAACTGAGGTGAGATCTGCACCATTAACCCGGGAAAGAGGCAGCATTGGAATTAGACACACAGATTCTATATTCTTAGCCATAATAACTAATGTTGTCCCAATAATTACATATTCAAGGTATATAGCATGAAGCATTACAATGATATATGTATTTATGTTTAATTTTAAATATATAATACCCTCAAATAAATATTACCACTACATCAAAGAAAACACCAGATTCTGAATGTAATGGAATATATTATCTCAAATGCTGACTTGTGCTTTAGCCAGCTCTAACAAGAACATGTTCTGGACTTAGCGTTCTGTCTGTTAACCAAACACAAGTCTGATTACAGTTACTGACTCATAGAAACCAATAGCTTATTAATTCTGTGAATGCACTCTTAAACATAAATAGGCTTGTGTCAAGATTTGGGGTTTTAGTGGGCTCTGAAGTGTTATCAGTTTGGGGACAATTACTTTATTGGGCTTTCATGTAGTGTGAAGAGGTTGGATCGGCAATTAGGGGATGGAATACAAGCACCAGAATCGTGGGAGAGACTGTCCTTCATAGGACACTCATCTTTTATTCTGCTCATCTGGTGAAAGCTAATGCATTTGAATGACTGATGCAATGCAATAAAATAGAATTATAGAGGTATCAAAATATAATAACTGAGCAACACTGCCTTATGAAAGTTTATAAAACTTAAAATTACAAAAAGACAACAAAACAGACTTCAAATTGCTAATAAAAAGGAACAAAAGTACAATTTAAAATTATATATTCTATGGTTCCCAGAAATATCTATTTGGGCACATTCATTATACTGGTCAACATGATTGCAGTTTGGATTATAAAAAAATAATGGTCAGGACAATGATGGGTTCTGTGAAATGTGTGCTATGTGAGCTGCAGCTGGGGAGCATCTTTCAAAATCACAGATCATCGAATCATTGAATACATGCATTGCTATACCATCTTTAGCCTTTGCTGCCCTTTCCCACAGAGCTACGTGCAGGGCCAGGCCCCAACACACACATGGTCAGTGTGTGGCCCAGAGGGGGGCAGGGGTGAGTCCAGAATTTTCCAGGCATGTGGAGCGACCTACAATTCTGGGGCCTCAGCAATCTACAACCCCAGACCTCATGTACATCAATTAATGCTCACCCACCCAGGCATTCCTTGCCTCTTTGTATCTCTTTAAGACTTTCACGTCTATCAGAGTTTTACTTTCTCTGAGTCTCTCTCTCCCGGTTTATCTCTGACCCAGCCATTAATTCCTTCTCTCTCTCTCTCTCAATGTCTCTATCAGACTCCCTTTCTCTGTCAATCTATCGCAATCACGCTCTCTGTCTTTGTCAAAATATGTATACGTTGCACAGTGTCTCTACGTCTGAAGTTTCTCTTGATATCTATGGGAATTTCTCGCTTTCTCTTATCCTGGCTCCGTCCCACCATCATCAGGAACACCAGGGAATGGAATACCTTGTGGGACGAGTTGTACCCTACCTAGACCTTCTCTGAGCCAGAGAGGTGGGTGATGGGCGCCTGGAAAGCCTCGCCGCAGACGCCGCAGCAGATGACCGCTCTGCCCCGGGCACGGTCCATCTGCGCTTCACAAGCCTTGGGGTGGTTGCAGAAGGGGCAGGTGAACTCCGTGTCCA